TTCAACTGAATAGGGAATTGGGAAAAGTTGTTTGAAGTGGATAGAACACACATACCGGAGTTCATCAAACTGCATCACGAGACAAGTGCTAACTTGGAATCCTGAAGGTAAAGGGAAAAGAGGAAGGCCGGAAAACACACTGCGTCGATAACTGGAAGATATCAGAAGGATAAATAGCAACTGAAAAAGATGGCTCAGAATAGAGTTGGATGGAGAATGATGGTGGTAGGTTTGTGATCCTCTATTAGGGGCATCAGGAACAAGCATTTAAGTAAGTAAAAGAAATGGGACATTTTTATATAAGGTGGTAAAATGAGAATCGCTAGTTATATTTGACAATCACAGAACTTCAGGTAGATGTTAAGACCCTGTTATTCATATTAAGCTTTCATAAGTTATTTTTTAGTTTGGTTGAATAAATGTCTTAGATTTTATACACGACGAATGTAAATACACCACAAGTATTGGAAGTTCGACAACACCTTAACCATTAACACCTTAGTAATCAAACTATACCAACCTAGTCAAATCAGAAGTAAGGAATGAAGAATTTGAAAAACATATTTGAAAGGAACGTTTTGTTTAATATATCTAGTGGTTGAGAGGGATACGTAGCACGGTGTATTCACTCGCTATCTGGCGTGAATGCTTGATGAGGTGCCTTCAGCTATGTGAGTCCAGCACCGAATGTCGAAGACTTAGAGAGCTATTTATTTGAAGGATTTATTTTCCACTACAAACGTAAGGCAGTATTTGAAGTTTGAAGTTCAAGCAATAAATCACTGTTTTAAGTCTGAAGAGGACATTCTAGAACGTGTTTAATTGTCAAGAGACATGATTGTGAGAGGTCCATTTTACATGCCTCATAAGGATAGAAGTAAACACCTCAAATGATTTCCGCCATCGATAAAAGTTGATTTCATAATAACTTGTCGTATACCGAAGATTTTGAAACCAAGTCTTCAGTTTTAAGTCTTCATAATAAGGATTGTATGTCATTGAAACTGTGTTAATCCTGACAGATTACCTTCCAGTGAAGGTAAAGTTTCTCCTTGAAAATATTCACTGTTTGGGCTGATACTTGTTCGGGTAAGGCGTTTCAGTCATTGACTACTCGATGAGAAAATGGGACCCCACTTTAAGTTTATTAGATGGCGGTTTGTGAACCTTCTTGCTATGACCTCAGGGATTGATAGTGCTGGAGGCAGCAACAGGATAAGACAAATTAACACCCAAATCATAATTAAAGATACAAAATGCCAGTATAAGGTCACCTCGCATCCTACGTCAAGACAAGGGGAAAAGGTTTCGGCTTTTTAAACGCTCATCGTAAGGGAGTTTAGAAAGACCCTTCACTACTTTTGTTCCCACACGTTGAACACATTCAAGTAAGATAGTATCCTTTATCAGGTATGGGCTAGCTGCTTGGATACAGCACTATAAATGTGGTCCTACATAGGTGAGGTATAAAATTCGAAACATTTCCTCGTCAAAGCGTTTAAATGCTCGGAGAAGTGGCCATAACGCACTAAAACCTTTGACAGCAGCTACGTTGCAACGCGTAGTTGTTTTCAAGTCATGACTTATTATTACTCCTAAGTCTTTATATCCTTTAACGCGTGGAAGAGATGTACCATCAATAGTATAGTGGTAATTATTACCGTGTCCGATATGCATGAGCACACTCTTCCTAGCATTGACCTATAAGCCCCATCCTTGAGCTCATCTAACTAATTTATATAAGTTAGCTTGAAGATCAAAATGATCAGCCTCACTTCTTATTGTTCTCCAGATTTCTGCACCATCCGGTAACAATAATGTCGACGACTTAAGCACCAGCGGTAATTCATTAACGTAGAGAAAGAAAAGTAGAGGGTCTAAGATGGTGCATTGGGGTGCACCACTTTTGTTCGGTTTCCATTTGCTGGCATTCCATTAACCCCACTCTGTGTTTGAGGTCGCATAAAGAGTTTCCTACCCATCCCTATACTGCGCCTATTATTTCGAAGCCTCTGCACAAGACCTAGGTGTGAAATCTTGTCAAACGCTTTGCCAAAATCTATAAATATTACATCAACAGACAGACCATTATCTAGGGCTGCTGCTCAACCCTCTTTCGCAATAAGTAAATTAGTCAAGCGTGAATGCTTGTTACGAAACCCATATTGCACGGAAGTCAACAAACCGTGTAAATCTATGTGACTTAGTAACTTAACCCGTATTATCTTTTCAAGTAACTTAACGACTATGCTGGTTAGACTGATAGGCAGATAGTTAGATACAATCTGTCTCTGACCATCCCTAAATATAGGACTGACTATAGCGTCTTTCCAATCTCTAGGGAGTTGGGTGAGTGAAAGGGACATGTTGAACCGCGTATCGGGCGGTCTTGAAATAGTGTCCGAAAGAGATGACAACAGCCGTGGATGTAACCCGTCGGGGCCCGGTATCTCACAAGGTTTGAGGTTAGTTAGCAATGGAAGGACAGTTTTCTCAGCCACATGTACAGATCCTATGGGTAGTATCTCGGTGTGATTGTGACAGGTATTTGTAACAATACATGTGGAGTTACTTACTTACTTACGCCTGTTACTCCCAATGGAGCATAGGCCGCCGACCAGCATTCTCCAACCCACTCTGTCCTGGGCCTTCTTTTCTAGTTCCATCCAATTCTTGTTCATTTTTCTCATGTCTATCTCCATTTCTCGGCGCAATGTGTTCATCGGTTTTCCTCTTTTCCTTTTGCCTTGAGGATCCCATGTGAGGGCTTGTCTTGTGACGCAGTTGGATGCTTTCCTCAATGTGTGTCCTATCCACTTCCAGCACTTCATCCTGATTTCTTCCTCCGCTGAGATCTGGTTTGTTCTTTCCCCAGTAGGTTGTTGCTAATAGTGTCCGGCCAACGGATCTGAAGTATTTTGCGTGGACAACTGTTAATAAACACCTGTATTTTCTGGATGATGGCTTTCGTAGTTCTCCAGGTTTCCGCCCCACACAGTAGAAGTGCCTTGACATTTGTGTTGAAAATCCTGACCTTCGTGTTGGTTGACAGTTGCTTTGAGTTCTAGATGTTCCTCAGTTGTAAATATGTTACTCTTGCTTTGCTGATCCGCGATTTCACATCTGCATCAGATCCACCCTGTTCATCAATGATGCTGCCCAAATATGTAAAGGTTTTTACATCTTCCAAATCTTCTCCGTCAGTTGTGATTGGATTGGGGCATGCTGTGTTGTATCGGAGAACCTTGCTTTTCCCTTTGTGTATATTGAGACCTACTGCTGCTGAGGCTGCTGCTGCACTGGTCGTTTTCTCCTGCACTTGTTGTTGTGTTTGGGATAGAATGGCCAGATCGTCTGCGAAGTCTAGATCGTCCAACTGCATCCTAGATGTCCATTGTATTCCGTGCTTCCCTTCAGATATTGACGTCTTCATGATCCAGTCGATCACCAGGGGAAAGAGAAAGGGTAAGAGTAAGCAACCTTGCCTAACACCGGTCTTTATTTCGAACGAGTCTGTCAATTGTCCTCCATGCAAAATTTTGCAGTTTAACCCATCGTAGGATATCCGTATGATATTGACTATCTTCTGAGGCACGCCTTTGTATCGAAGAAGCTTCCATAGTGTTGTTCTGTTCACGCTATCAAATGCTTTTTCGTAGCCAATGAAGTTGATGTAGAGTGATGAATTCCATTCAATTGATTGTTCCACAATGATCCGTAGAGTTGCGATTTGGTCTGTACACGATCTATCCTTACGGAATCCTGCCTGTTGGTCACGAAGTTGGGCGTCTATGCAGTCCTTCATCCTGTTTAACAATACCCTGTTGAAGACTTTTCCCGGTATTGAGAGAAGAGTGATGCCCCTGTAGTTATCACACTTGCTGAGATAGCCTTTCTTCGGTATTTTGATCAGATCACTAAGATTTTCTCCATTTAACATGTGAAAACAAACGTTTCGGACAAGTACGGCTATCATATGCCGACTGTCTTTTGTAAATAGTACGGTATTTAGCTAGAGTCTTTTTACATATATTCTGGATTCTTTGGTATTCTCGTCGGCAAGAATAGGTTTCAGAAGTATTTCCTACGCTTCAACAGTTTCCGGGTTTCCTTATCAATCCATGGAGGGAATTGTGATAGCTTACGTGTTGAATATGGGATAAACGGTGATTTTGCGGACTTGAATGTAGCCTTAAACCTATTCCATTAGTCTTCGATCGATCCATCCACGTCGACTGACCAGCCAGTTGAGATAGCACAGTCTCTGATTGCTGGAATATCAGCTCGCCAGATATCTTTTTCTATATCATACGACAACTTGTACAGGGAAAAGTTGCCAGCGTGTTTGAATATAAAGGGCAGATTATTTACTTTTTTAAGTTCTGTCCACCTTATTTAGTTGCAGGTTGCTACTACCCAAGCCCGAATTTCAGCGAAGGGATCTCTTTTCAACGAATTTATTACCAAGCTGTACAATCGTATATATATGAAAATTTTTGTTTGTTGCAAAAGTACTAATTCCGTGAGGAAATGTGAACACAGTTAATATAAAGGTTATAAAACTAGATTACGTAATATGAATGGTAACAATAACAATAGATTTAGTGATTATAATAAGATGATTAAAATGTTTTTGATATAATAATTAAAGGTCATAGAGGTGTAAAAATAAATAAGGTGATATGATGAGCGTTCATGAATAAAACAATGAGAATATAAGACATAAGCCGCTATAGTAAACTTTGGGGAAATGGCACAAAAACTCTAAAATTTCCCCAAACTTTTAGGAAGGATATTTCACTATGGGGATTTCCCCAAAGTTGGGAGCTTGGGTACATGTAGTGTCAACACCTCTTGAAAAACTAGAAGGAAGATTAAACATTGTGAATAGTGATACAGATCGCCTGACATAAACATTCTCACGTATGAGCACTGAGGTCTAATTGTACATTAAGAAATCGGACTGGGACTTGGTTTTGTTGTACCATTTAGTGTTAAGGCTGTGTTCCCCGCGTATCTTGAATCTCGGTGATGGATGTTGCTCAAACTCAAGTGCGAACTATACGAGTGGTCGATGTAGTTGCAGATGAGTGTCAGAGGCTTTTCCACCATTTTTTGGAAACGTAACTGCAATTCACACTTGACTTTTCTGTTAAGATTTAAGGAAAACGACGTTCTGAAATATGTAGAGGCTGCTAACGGGCTCAAACAACTTGAGAAAAATACACTGTCAGTGACCTTTACAGACATAATAGTATCTGATACGAGGTTATCTGGACTTATTCAGGACGAGTTTTATAGGTGAGTTTTATCGTAGCCTTATTTCAAAAGGCTGTATCCTGCGCTTTGCTCGGCCACAAAAAATTTCGTGAATGATCACGTACCAGATACGCAGAATTCAGGAAGGGACTTCTACGTCAGTTTTACAGACGTCCCTAGCTTACACAGGTATTGATGATTTCAAAATATTTTTTCTCAGGATGCGAGACCTCACAGCAAGTCAGTTAGGAAGGTTGATCAAAGTACGTGCTCAGGTCGTACGAGCACACCCTATTCACCCCGAACTTTTAATGGGTACTTTTCGATGTTCCGAATGTAAGATAGTGATAAGAAATGTGGAGCAGCCCTTCAAATATACCCAGGTACTACCACGTCTTACTAACCTCGTTAGCCAACGGTATGTTTTAATCCTCAATGCGGGAACCGACTTAAGTTTGAGTTGCTTACGAATGAGTCGAAGTTCGTCGATTTCCAGAAAGTCCGAGTTCAAGAAACTCAGTCTGAATTACCTCGAGGGAGCATTCCACGCAAGTAAGCTCATTCTACTAACTTTTGTCTTTTTTGTCTGCTTATTCACAAGTCCTAAGAAGTACAAACATTGTGGGTAATAAGAAATATGATTCGATCTGTTTATTCATGTAGTAAAGTCACAGTAAATAGGTGGTAGATGCTCTAGATCAAGCAAAGTAATTTTCGACAACAAAGACTGCAAATGAGTTGATGTTTTGTTGGTCTGGAACGTCACGTAAATAAATAGTTGGTGTCAATTAGCAGACAGTATCAAAAGCAAGTAGTTTGGAGAGAGATGCTGTAAAATAATCCTGCGGATCAACAACAGGAAACCGTATGGATTGATCGCTACTAACCATTGATTGAGAAGTGGCTATTTGGTCTCCTAGATTGTAAGTAGTAAGTTTCACAATCCATGAAAATTTATTTTGACCAACCCAACAAACATATCTGACGAGATATATGCGTATAAGGTGATGTTTTCTGGACATGATTTTATGGTTTTGAATTTGGCAATCAACAACCTGAAGTTTTTTACTTTCACTTGTTCATAATAGATAACTAAAAGTTTTTAGTATGTCAGGATTGCGTATAAAAGTCATGGATTCGAACTTCACTATATTTCTGTATACCTTTGAGCAGTAAAGTCGATTTTTTCCTCATTTACACAACCCTAGGTTAAGTAGTGTAGTTCGACTCCTGATACGTCACCATTTGATTTGCCTTGGCTGCCAGTACATTTTACATGCTTTGTTAAACCTTTCAGCCTTGAAGTCATACTACGTGCAGATACAGTAGACCTTGCGCAACCTGGTGATCGGTGTGAATTTATTGGGACTCTTATCGTTATCCCTGATGTTGGACAACTAGCGACACCCGGTAAATTAAACATTTTAAGTTGTATTATTTATTTTACTCACCAAATGTTGGTAGCCATCTTAAATCCATCTGTGTCACTTGTCGTAACTGTTCCGTTTTTTTTGCGCTGATTGGTTGGGTATTGTATGAGTATTGATAGTTAAAAAATTGAACAGTTTTGTTACCTAGGAAAGAAATCCTCTATTTTGGTTCTATTTAGGTGACAGGTCGTTAGAGGGTAAACCGTTACGAGGACGAGACAATCAAGAAATCGGCGGTGTAACTGGTCTAAAGGCTTTAGGAGTGCGTGAACTTTCTTATCGAACAGCGTTTTTGGCTTGTACTGTCATACCTTCAAATGGAAGAGTAAGTCTAATTTATAACTTTGGGTTGATGGCATGAACTTCATAACAAGTTTCTATAATTTTGCCATGGTACGCTCCAATATAAAGTTCTTGGTTACGGTAAACGTACGATAATGTATTAGTAACTTATGCACTCGGTTAATTACAGTAAGGTACTCGGTTCAAATTTCACGTTCGATAACAATATTTTTTCCACCAATTTCATGAGTGGTAATTCTTTAGCCATAGCTTCAGATGTCGGCTAGTGTTGTAGTTATCGGCAGTAGTTTCCCAGATTTTAATCGAAGTGGTGGCTTAGTGGGTGAATCATTCGGCTTTCAGTCAATATTTCGCAGATCCGGATCACACTTTGCGTGTTTCGCTTTAGGCAACCGGGTAATATTACTAGTCTCCACTCAAATGTGGCTTAAGTGAGAGTACTTAGGCCTATACTTGGCAAATAATAATAACTCTAACCGAAATAAATAATCCAGCGGGGAAATTTACTAGGCCTTAGTACCTTTTATTAGTTTGTTCCATAATGCGAAATCGCCATTTAAATTTGATGGTACTTTTTCACTCATTGAGTTTTGAAGCCGTACGATATTGTATTACTTAGGATCACTAACACACAATATTCGTGCTTGTTGCGCTTGTTTTAATGGACATATGATTCGGAGTCTGAAAATTTTAATTGCAAACTAGATTCCTACAGTAGACCTCATGTCACTGAATCATTTCCACTTAAAACTAAATCTTCTAAATGGTTGTTTTATTTTAATCAGAACTTCAGGAAGTTGACCGAAATTCGATCTTTACAAAGATAAGATGAATGATTTATGTACTTATAGACACGTATTTATTCACTTCCATTCGTTCCACTGTTTCCATTTTCTATTATTGTTTTGTAATCCCCTGAGTGTTATGCATTCTATTACTGTTCTCCACAACTTACAAGCAACTTATTTTTTTCTGATTTTAACTTTGCCTCACTTCAAATGGTTTTAAATCATCCTGTTTTTTTTACGTACTGTGTATAAATATTGGAATTTTGATCTTAGTACTTGCCATCAGATGAATTAGAAGAGTCAGATGCGATCTCTTACGAAGCATTGTCAAAAAGACTGACGCCATCTGAGCTCGATACAATTTGTCAAATGAGTCAGGATCGAAAACTTCTTACAAACATGTGCAGATCTCTTTTCCCGACTATTCACGGTGCTGATGAAGTTAAGAAAGGTATCCTGTTGATGCTTTGTGGTGGTGTACCCAAGGTTAGTACAATCAGTAGTTTTATACATTGTGAACTTAATTTGTGTTATTTTATTGACTCCTGGCTATATATTTTCATGTTGATATGCACAACTGAAGATATGTTGCATAGGATCTCAATTTGTCTTTCTTGCTAATATATTTAATGTTGAAAAACATAGTCGGCATCTTATTGTGAAGATTTGTTCTAGCTTTTATTTTATTTAAGTGCAACGTTGTCTCCTAATTTATTTCAGCCAAGTGTACTGTCTAATTCTTTTTATAGATTACTGAAGAGAAAACCCATCTCCGTGGAGATCTAAACGTATGTCTAGTTGGTGATCCAAGTACAGCGAAGTCTCAGTTCTTAAAACATGTTGAGAAGTTTTCTCCACGTGCCGTTTACACTAGTGGTAAAGCCAGCTCAGCAGCTGGTTTGACAGCTGCAGTAGTGAGGGATGAAGAGTCCTTCGAATTTGTCATTGAAGCTGGAGCACTAATGCTTGCAGACAATGTAAGTCACTGACTTTAAACATTTTATTTGAAGTAGTCATTTTCACAACTGTTTTTCAATGATTTTTGTTTTATTAAACGTGTTCATAGTACATAGAAAACATATTGGTAATAAAAACATCTCGCCTTTCTAAAATAAATTTATTATGCAGTTGGAATCTTATTAATCATTGTCAAAAATCCAAACTCATTCTTAAACAATAAGAGCTCACGGCTAGCAATTCGCCCTCTGTAAACATCTCTGAGTATATCCAATGTCGGATTGTTTCTTTAGGAACCAATTTCTATTTTCTAAATTACAATAAACGTCCCGGTGAAAAGCTCTCAATGGATTTCTTTGATATTTTTTCTACTATTCTCTTTATAATTTATTACCAACTGCAACTAGAAAACAACTCTTTTCCAAATATTATATGTATTGTAATCTCAGCACTGAGTCTTTTACACACAAATATCAGTCATTACCAAAGACTGATTACCGAAAACTACCATTATTACCAAAGGAATTACTCCGATTCTAACCATAATTTCATTCATGATCACATATTCTAATGAATATTTTAGTGATATCGCAGAACCTTTATTATGAGTTCACTAGACCATTACACTAAGTGAATCCAAACATGAATTTCTCTTTTGGTCTTGTTATCTAAATAATGTATTTAGTTTTTGTATACAATTTTTTCACTAGTTTTAAATTTCTTGCTTAAAGGGAGTTTGCTGCATAGATGAATTCGATAAGATGGATCTTAAAGACCAAGTCGCAATTCACGAGGCGATGGAACAACAAACAATTAGCATAACGAAGGCTGGTGTGAAAGCTACACTGAATGCTCGCACTTCTATTCTTGCAGCAGCTAACCCCATTGGTGGTCGCTACGACAGATCAAAATCTCTACGACATAATATTGGCTTGTCTGCTCCCATCATATCACGTTTTGACCTGTTTTTTGTGCTGATTGATGAATGCAACGACGTAAGTTCCTTAGTTTTTGTTCTACGTACCCGATTCACCTATAGGAGGCAAAGTAATCCCAATTAATAGTTGCTTCTGAACCTAGAAATTCTTTTACGGATAAAATCACACGTCAGATTATCTTGAGACCACGTATTTGTCAGATGCTTTAGGATCTTGGATGAGTTCTGTTTTGTTTTTTTGTTTATCGAAGTGATCTCACCCACAAGTTAACAATTCACAACATGACCTGAGAAGAACGATTGGGTTTCCGTCTGCTTACTAATTTTCTTACGTTCTCGTGATTGACGTAAAGTAAGTGGTATCGCGTCACATTTTGTAAATGGTAATGAGCTATTTAACAGCGACTTATTTACGAAAACCTGCTCCAGTAGTTCTCATAGTAATTTTGAACGACATTTCGGAGGAAATTCCAAAGACTTTAATTAATATAATACCGATCTCCTCATGCACTAATCTATTCAGTACCCTAACTTCTCACAGGATACACTGAGATATATCTGACAAATTACCAAACGAACTATGCTAATTTTGTGCAATGTATTTGTTTGACTGTTACGTTCCTGCTCATTACTTTTTTTTTCTAGATCGTGGATTATGCTATCGCTCGTTCAATTGTAGATTTGCATATGGGGAGACATGGCGCAGAAGATACTCACACCATCTATTCAGTTGACAACATTCGTCGCTACATCGCTTTTGCTCGTTGTTTTAAACCCAAAGTATGGAATAATTTTTTTCACATTACTTCATTATTTACTAAACTTTGCCATCAAGATAATTATTTCAATGGTGTTTATAGTTTGTTCCCTAGCTTTCTTCAAAGACCGACAGAAAGATCATAGGGATCTAATCATAATATTCAGTCTTACCGAGTATAAAGCTTGCCACAAATACACATCCTAAGTGTTTATATGTAGACAAATTATTCGGTATCAGCATCTCGAAATGAAAGTAACGAAAATACCAAAAGATTCGAAATAGTAGTGGTGTAGATGATGGTAAGGAATATTAAACAGTGAAGAACGCCTACTGGGCGCTTGAACATCCTAATAGTACTTATAACCTTTACAGAGTAAGTGTAACTCACGGATGAACAGATACTTGATTACTGAGTTGCGTTTGTTTCCTGGTCAAATATTTATGTTTTTATCATAGCCAGCTTCATGTAGTATCAGTGTGTTCTGTGCTGTTTTGCAGAAGAATTATTATGGTATAAATATTAAACTATTTACTGGTCAATTTACCATATGCCGTAGGAAATATAATTGTCTTGTTATTCATTTGAGATTACCTAGTGGTGTGGAATCATATTTTTCTAACTGCATTTTATACCATCAGATAAGCGGGGAAGCTATGGAATGCATGGTTGAAGAGTACAAAAAAATGCGTCAGAGAGATGCTTCCAGTGGGACAAAGTCTGCATGGCGCATCACTGTTAGACAGCTGGAAAGTCTTGTTCGTCTTTCAGAAGCAACAGCACGACTACACTGTGCAGATACCGTAAGATTTTTATTTCCTAAATTTTACGTATTCAACTCAAATTGACTTATCCAGTTCTTTATTGTTCGAGTTGTGGTGTATTAACGTAATGTCAACTTTAAATTTCGTTTTATGTGCACGCTCGTTTATGTGAACCCTTGATTCGAAATTTTAATCTTACCCTTAAAGGCGTAAATCAACCGATATCGCCAAATGACTGATTTTTATTGTATCGAACCTTACAGTATATTTTAGGTCACTCTTGCCGATTTACAACTAGTGACGTTACTTATGTTCCGAGTTCATCACTCCTATCAGACATTACTTGTTTAGGGCACACAGTTGTGTACGGTCCTCACATTCATGCCACATTTTAGCGCGTTCAACTGAATGTTTGTACCAACGTAATCGTCAGTGTGTTGTCTTAAGGGACTGGAAATTGTATAAGTTATGAAAAATCTGATATGTAAATACTCAATAGTCATCGTTGTCATACAAAATACTACTTGAAGTGGTCCATAATATATGGAAAGTTCTGATTGATAAGAGATTTTATTCAAAGCATCTAGTTCGGTTTACTTTCTTTTCGTGACTACTTGTGTCAATAGCAATTATTCCATGGATATAGTAGCTATGTTTGAAACAGTAGACAATCTTAAGCCGGAACTAATTTTTCAGCCCGCAGATCGGAACACTGGAGGAATGGTTATAAGTACGTTGTATTTTCTTGAATCATGCCATGTGATCGTATATTTAAAATAACAGGTTTTAACTAACAATATGTACATTACTAGGCGTTTTGGCGCAAAGCTAAACAAGGCAATTATAGTTAACTGATTTATCCACAGTAGGTTAGGGAAACTGTTATTAGACCAAGCAATAGCGCAAAATCAAGTCTATAAGAAAACATCCAAAACAGATCGTTTAATAACTCCAGGTTTCATTATCTTTCCTCGCGTCTTCCTAACACCAATGTATTAGTTGTCGCTACTAACATTTCTCTTTTATACAAGTAAACCGTACTCTATTAAGAGTCTTTTGTTCTTCATAACAGGTAACACAAGCTCATGTACGGGAAGCTTTTGCTCTCTTAAACAAATCCATAATACGAGTTGAACAGCCTGATATAAATCTAGAAGAGGAAGACCAACATCAACTGACAGATGCTTCGGAAACACCAGTTATTGATCAGGTATGTATTTTTGAAAAAAATTGTGTTTTTCAAATCTTATCAAATTTCTCACTTATTTTTCCACTTTTTAATTGTTTTAACTAGCCAACTACCGAGACAAATACAACCGCTGGACATTTACGAGTAACATATGATGAGTATAGACGGATTGCTAGTCTTTTAATTTTGAGGGCCCGAAACTGGTGTGAGACCTTAGCAACAGATAGTGAGTCTGATCAAACTCCTGGTGCTCCAAAAAGGAGTGAACTAGTCAACTGGTATCTAGAAGAAGTTGTTGATGAATTTGAAACCGAAGCGCAGTTAGCGGAAGTCAAGCTTCTTGTCGAACGCATAATCGATCGCCTAATAAAAAAGGTAAGCTTATAAACACATCACTTTTCGTTACATTTGGCATTTGTTTACTTTTCGAGTCCTAGATTGGAAGTATTCATGGTGGTTCTTTTGAAACGAACTATGCAGGCCACTGAGAGCTACAAAGATAAAGATTTTCAGAATCTTAGGCTTCATTATTTAAAATTTCGGAACTAATTATCTCATTCCCATGATACTAACACATCCAAGCTATATAATATAAATGCACTGTTCTAGGTGGTCGCTTTTATTTTACTTGGTATTTCAGCGCTTTCGTAGTACCAGTACTTTTGAATAGAGTTGGTGAGTCTCAATCTCCCACAATTGATGTCGCTAATTTCACCGTTTATTTGATATGGTAATGTGCAACATTAATCAACGATTATTCGCTGAAGTAATGAATCAGTTACCGCGATGGGTAGTTAAGTGTATCAGGAATCCTACAACACATAGCGGAAGTAAAAGAATATTAAAAATACAAAAACACATTCGTTATTATATTGGAAGCTCCTTTTGAGTTTATGGATTAAGAGAATGGTAAGCAGAACATTTATGGATGGTTTTGGAATCCTTGCTTATCTTACCGCTTTCGAGTACAAACAGGTTTGTTTTATTATCTGTACCGAAAGTAAAATGTATAGGAGACCTACATACTGCTATCTATGTGAAACTGTGCAAAAACAACTTACCGCTCAAAATATAGAATTTCGAAAGTTACTTTTTCTAAAACATTCAACAAGTGATATGTCGCGACTGTGTCTGACTTCTAAGAACCCTGATGAAACCAAGCATGTTGGATGAAGAGGAATAAGTCTTATTGGTTTTAGTCAAATCATTTCTGTCCTACTTTCATAGATTCGACCAGATATTGGCTTCATCGAATCCTTGCTACTTACAAAACATACAAATTATTCGAACTGTAAGATGTAATGTTTAGTAGTTGTGAGACATGAAGCACGCATCAAAATGTCTTTTTACTTATGAATAAGAAATTATGTAGCCTAGTCACGTAACATTCACCTCTGCATTTCGCCCATAGCTCGACTATCAAATAAGACTGAAACATTCGCTTCAATATACGTTATTGACCAAGGCAACTACAGTATTCGTTTTGTAGTAAGTTTTGGTTGACATGGAACAAAAACAATGCAGAGCGTTAAATATTTCCTGCATTTCATAGATTTGGGGTTTTGTGATAGTAATAACAGTCGGTTAATTACAATTAAAAGGTTATATACTCACCAGAACACATGTGCTCTTCTGGTCACGTCTCTTCATGTAAGCAACGGGATTACGGAACTTAAGCGGAAGTGGCTAACGTACCGTGTTATTAGTTAACTTTACAATAATTTGTGCTGTTTGTATGTAGTTATGGATGTGGTTAAAAACAGTCTTATGTAAGGATATGCACTAGTTAATCCCACCAATGTTTTAGTGAGTTATGAGGAATTAGGTTCATTAGCAAGTGTCTTTAACAATGAATCAACTGGCTTTATGCATACATTTAGTGTTAATGAAACATTGGAAACTTCCCTATTTCTTACAGGATAATATTCTCATAACTATTGGTGGTACAGGACTGGATGCATCTGCTGATACCGCTGATCCTTACATCGTCGTGCATCCTAATTACGTGGAGTAATTAGAACTGTTTTTCAGAAAGATGTATTTATAATCAAGATGTGCTTTTTATGTAATAAAATTTTTATTAATTATTATCCTTCCGTTGTCTACGTCTTGTGAATCGTACTATGGTTTCAGGAAACGTAAATATACAGGGGTAAGCACATTTATTTTGCGAATTAAGCACGCAATTTGTTCATATAAAAAAGGCCTGTACAAATTATATCCATCACCAACGCTTTTGTGTGCTAATGTAAAAAACTGCAACGGCTTAGAAATGCTGATGTGACTTACCGTTGTTTCCTCGGATGAACGTATCACCGTATTTGTTTTTCAGCTGACCATCAACGTATTCTTCGGTCTGTTCCAACACCACATTCATATAACCGTCTAGAGAAATTAGAACACCTGCAAACTATTTAAGCTGCATGGATATGAAATTACCTCTGTAGTCAGCACCTGAGTTAAGCTTAACTACCACTGGTCTCCCGACTATGAGTTTCAAGAAGTCTCTTGGTGTCTGTTTATGTGCCATCCCTTCGATTTTCTAGAAAAGAACCCATCGTTAGTGATGTGGGTGTTAAATTTTCAACCAGTCTGGGACAAGTTGGATATTGATCTCTCATCAAACTTACTATTATATGTAATGGATTATTTATTTATTTCTATTCTTTGCTAGTTTTTAAATCAGTGAATCTGATTTCCAATGGCAAATATTTCGTTTAATTAGGTGCTGAGACAGCTAGTTTTGCTAATTTCTTTCACAATCTTATCGTTGGAGTTTGGTTGTAGCGCTTCTTGATGAAATACTACCGCTTAAAACTTGTGACCAAGTCATGAAATAGTGTGCACAGTATAAATAAACAAAAATAAGAGGACAACAAACAGACTTCCCAACTAGTGACACAGGAATGAGATACAAGTTTGTGTGTTCGGCTTTAGGCTATACTCTTAGTGTAATACTGCTCTAGTCGGATTATGTATAATGGTGTTTGGATCCTCTAACTTGTGGCTCGAAGTCAACCGCTTTTGATAACTAAACAACTACTTTGGAAAAGAAATGGGCGGTGGCATATTCAGCCACTTGAGATTTCTGTCAATCATGACTTTCATGGTTACACTGTATAAACACTTCCGGAAGAGATAGTTGCGTACACGTGAATTTAAACTAAATTGGATCTAAATTAAATCAAATAACACGAGTTTGAAATTCGGGACTCAGGAGACGTGTATAGATCTCTAAACTAGACTGAGCTACAACTGTTGCATGGAATGAATAATGACACTCCATGAACAGGTAAACTTCGGTAGCTGGTGGTGGTGGTTTACTGGTGGGTTGGTGTTTGTACGCTAAACCACTACTCTCCTGCGTACTTAAATGTCACTTTTTATCAAATGCCTGTCAATTCGAAATGGCCGGTGAAACGACTAGCCGTATGGAAGTTTTGAGCAGTTACGTAGCAGTCCCACATTCAACCGCTATAATCTGATTGCAAAGTCTTCTTATTTTGGAAAGCTATAATGAACTTACAGATTTTGCAGACATGACCTGGGGATGAGAATGTAATTTCTACGTGCATCATAGTCTGCATTCAAAAGATCTCTATTGTATGACCGATGAGATACTAGTGTACGACTACCAAGTTCGGGATGTGCAGACACTGCAAGTCTGCTGTTTGAGTTGCTGCAAATGACGCAGGTTTAGCTCTTGACTTCGTGATTGAAAACAAAATACATGCACTACGGATTTATTACTTTATCAACACTGAAAGGATCTTGTTATATAGCCGATATCATGTGCTAATAGGACAATGAAATAAAATCCCAGATTTTGTCTGAAGAATTCGGGTGCCACGAATCCCAGTAAACCAATCACAAGGGAAGTCACTTTAAGGGGGTGGTTTAACGAACTTAATATAACAATGAACCTAGGAGTCACGTTTGCTTGATACATTAGGTAAGTTTATTCAGGGAGTAAACATCGTAGATGAATAATAAGATGTTAAACTAATTGAGTTGGGATTTATTTTGTAGTTTGATTCTCATCACATGTAGGAATACCTTATAAAGACATGAATCGTGGTATCAGGGTAGTTTTCAACAGCGAATTATTCATTTGGACAATACCTACTTGATTGGTCTACGCTGTTTAAAAAGACGCGCTGATCTCCTGCTAAATCAACCTATTTCAGTTCCATGTATTACTTTGAAGAAAAGAAGTGTAGTTACTCAGTTAATTACATCCTAGATTTTGGGGAAACCCACAAAGTCAAATGACCTTTACCAAGGTTAAAGGGAAATTTTGGGGTTTTGGTGCCATTTCCCTGAAGTTTATTATAGCGGCTTCCCCAAAATAGGGAGCTCGAGATAGATTGTCAAGCACAAATATTTCCGAGAAAGACGTATCGAACAAATAAAAACTTCACAGTTGTCACGCAGACATGTTATTGATTAAGGAAAAGAAATGTCTTTTTCTGCCAAGTTTAAAAAGTCTCATGCACTTCAAAAAATTACCCAGGCTCCCAACTTTGGGGAAACGACATATGTAGATATATATTGTGGGAGTTGGTAATTTTCAGCTTACAATACAGCGCAAATGCAGTAAAAACGAACGATGGTGACCCCCACATATTAAGCAACTCCCATCTCATTGAATTACCTGCACGACTGACCCAGAGAATGAATTTCCCACCTTAGTGGTAGGTTTTAAATAGTATTGTACATAATGGTTCAAAATATTTGAGTAAATTCTTCAAATGGTTCTGGATGAAACGGAAGAAGCTTTCAATTAACGGGCTACCTTATCTGGTGGTTATGAATTCGTGATGCCTCCAGGTAAGAATCTGAGTAATCTTAACAATATAAGAGAACAGAAAGATTAGCAAATCATAGTGAGATACTGTACTTAGTCCTTAAGAATATATCAAGTTTTCACCTTAAGAACTCTTTGGAAGTGGCTTGGACTAGCTCAATTGGCAGAGAGTACAGATATTTAACTACTCTTAAGGAGTAGAAGGTGTGCCTTTAGTTCGTCCTGTTATACTGTTTCTGTAGTTTCTGCGTGCTAATCCTAAGGTTTGTGTTAGGATTAAAATTAAGTATGTGTTTAAGGGGATGTTCATTAGTGTTCAGGGTGCTATACATCATTAGCAGGTCACCTCTAAGACGCCTGAACTCTAATGGGTAAAAATTCAGTAGTTGGAGGCGCTGTTCATAAGACTTGAATTTGGATCATCGAACTGATTTCATGGCTCGTTATCAAATACGTTCCAGTGTGTCCTTATCCTTTTGGAGTGAGGGAAGAAAAACTATGATTCCACACTATAAATGAGATCGGACAACACCGTTGGAGATCAGGTGAAAAGTTCTTCCATCAGACTGGCCAAAAATGCACTTCAACATTGTCATTTCAAGATTTTCCAGAAAGATATTTTTGCCGCAGTTGGCGTAAGACTTCAGATCATGAGAAATCAAAACTCCCAGATCTTTTTCGACTTGGAATACCTCAAGAGAGGAGTTATCTAGTTGCATTGTGCCTCGAATGAACTACGTTACACTTTGAAGTGTTGCGGAAAAGTCTGTTGTTGCCTGCTTAACTTTGAAGTCGAGTCAGATCCTCCTGAAGTGTCAAAATATCCCCATGTCTGCAAACGTCTCTCCAGAGTCTCGCATTGCCAGCAAAAGGTAATGAATTAGACGGTGCCTGCTAGAGAAAGTCGTAGTACTGAACCCTGTTGGACCCCACTTGCCTAACGTGTGGCCTGACAATAATTGAAGTTAACTCTTCTGATACACCAATTCAGTACTCAGACTCAGTCCTGAGAATCCTGTTGAGTTGTAGGTGGATCTCTCGTCGACATAGTTGGCGTAAGCCGGTTGAACTGTCCGGAAGTACTGTTCCGCCAGAAGGTCGATGACGTCACCGTTATTGTTGGTTGGGCCATTAGGACTTAGCAATTAGAGGACTCAGGTCTTCGCTTTTCGCAGAGAGGCTGAATAACTAAATAAGCTTTTCGGATTGGAGACAAATTTATCGTTTAGCTTCATTTGATACTGAAGCCTGTCTTTTCCTTTTGCATTTTCTCATTGATTCCGTGATTTTTGAATTGCCTACATGTGTTGTTGTTGCTGGTTCATTTGCATTCCTCTCAGTAAAGCCTTTCGCATCTTAGCGAACCAATGGTGCAACTCTTGATGACTGTAAGTTGCTTGTAGATTTTCGGGACCGTTTATAGAACTGTTTTGTAGCACATAAGATCATGTGCAGTAACAAGTCCCAATGAGTGTCCTCATCAATTTGAGGGTAGGCTTCTCAATCCACCTACTGTAGATTGACCTGTAAAGCTAACTCATCCAACCACTTTTAATTCCAATACTTGTTGACGTAAGGATGACTTAGCTCAGTTTTGCAGATAATATTGATGGCTTTGACGGTGTGATAACCCATGCAATAATAGGAAGGCATACATTATAAACTGGCTCAGACAACTACACCAAGACATTGAAGAAATGGGTGAACGACTACCTGAGGACTGGATATTACAGCCCAATAAGGTTAATATCAACGCATATCAGGAGTACTTCCCCAAAATAATAGGTAAACGTCAACTAGACTATAAATGCCAAAATAATAACTGCGATAGAATGTTCGCAACAGTCAAAGAAACGAATAGACATTATAGAAATGATCATCAAAATAAACCCAGTAGAGTTTTACCTGACAAATGTCCTCTAAATGACTGTAATAAAACGTACAAAACTTTGGGCTGGCTTAATAAACACATTCAGTCGTGTCACCCACATCACAAATCACCAGTAAAGGAAACTAAAATCCAAATAACAAAAAATAATTCCATAAATAATGTAAATAAATGTCCATACCCTGTCTGTACTGAAAGTCTCCCAACTAAGAAAGGTATAATTAATCACTGCTATGTAGTACATAGATGGTCAGCAATCACCGGACAAAAAGTGAAACCAAAGACAAAAAAACCTGCAAAAACAACTATTAAACCCCGGTAGTTGTGCCGTGCTTCGATGTAGCCTCTTCTCCAGAAGGGCCTACTAGGCTTCACCAACATGTTTGGCTGGAAGG